GGGGGGGGGGGGGGAGCTCGCTTCTCTCCTCCCCACCACAAAAAAGGGCAGACACTTGAGGTGCAGCAAATCCACGATCCTTCCCCTTCCGCACAGGCAGGGTGTCCAAAGCTCAGGAAATTATTTTTCATGCAAGGGTGGAGCTCGGAAAAGGTCTCTCCTGCAGACTACAACTCCCACAATCCCCAAGCAAGCACTGTCGCTGGGGAGTCATGATTCCACAAGCGACTTTTTCCTGGCTCCGCACATTTATTTATTTATTTATTGGACTTATATGCCACCCCATAGCGCTACAAGCACTCTCCGAGCGGTTTACAATTTTTAATTATACAGGTTACACATTGCCCCCCCAGCAAGCTGGGTACCACATGAGGCAGGAGGTCCCGCGAGCCCCTTTCCCTGTCCGTGCCGGGGAAAGTGACAAAAGGGAAGAAGGGAGAGTTTGCAACCTTTTCAATGAAACACCAAAAGGTCCCTCGGCCAAAGGGTTGGGCCGGCTGTGACCGCAGGCGCCATCCGCTGGTTGCCCGTGGCACTACAGACCTGAAGGGAAGCATGTGCTGGTCCTCCCTTCCAGCAGTGCCAGGTTGTGTGTGAGCAGAGCTCCCTCTTAGAATAAGCCGACCTTGAGGATCAACCGGCTGAAAAAGCAGGAGGTGAATCATCCTAATGAATTAACTCATTTAAATAAATAAAATAGCTGCCAAAAAAGAAAAGAAAAAAGAACTGGTAGGATTCAAGACAGCTGCACGGATTCTACCCTTTTAGGTTGTAGGTGGGAAAGCCAGGAGGGCCTGTAAGCTTTGGGGGGACTGCAGCTCCGAGGTCCTCTTGAAGCCTTTCGAAGTATTAAAGGGAACAACCAGCACCTTCTTCAGTGTCATAGGATAGGAAGGGAGCAGACGATGAAAAGGCAACGTGACCCGGCCATTTGGGCTCTGGCCATTTGGCACCAGCAGAAGTTTCTGGGTGGTTTCTGAAGGCAGTGACTCCCGTGTAACTCGCGGTACACCAGTCCAGTTGGCAATGGGTACAAGAATGGGGTGTGTGTGTGAGTCTTTGTGCTGTTGACCGATCCTTAAACAGAAGGTATTTTCCTGAATGGAGTATCTTGGGACGCCGCGGCTTTACCCCACGGCAGGCGTCTGTGGGTTTGCTTATCAAGATTCGTCTCCTCCTCTTGGGCCGATGGATCCTTAAGGCGTTTCGCAATCACACTTTGTAATAAGAGACAGACGCACACACGTGGACAAATTCACACAGAGCTGCTGGCAAAACCAGCTCTGCCTCTGCAAGAGCGTTGCTTCACTGCCTGCTCTTTGGATTTTCAAAATAAAATTAAATAAAATCACCCATTGCAGAAAGAGAGTCCTGCACCTTTTTTTGTCAGCCTGAATCGGGGCCCTCCTCCTCCCGCAAGATCCCATTCCAGTTTTTTCCACCGCCCAACTCATGTTTAAAGTCTTTGGCCCCCTCATGGCTATTTCAGCCCTTTGTTTCCTATCAGGCTTGTCAAAATGGGCTTGAGATGTTTTCCACGTGTGGCTCAAAATTCCTCCCTCTGCGGGTGTTGTGGCGAGGGGCAGAGGGCAAGGCCATTCACCCAAGAAATTCTCAGCCGACTGTGGCAGAGATGGGGGACTTGTGCCCATTCGCTATTTTGGCTCCTGGCCATGCTGGTTGGCTGGTGAGAGGATTATGGGAGTTGTAGTGGGGGGAAAATTACTTTCTGGGCTAATGTACTCCGACCTCAGCACAAACTAGCAGGTAGATGACAATTCTTGGAAGAGGCAGTAACCTGTAAAGGTCTTAGGATTTGCTTTCTCTCTTGATCTACTGACGGGAATGATGGATGCCTCTCCTGTTTGAGGCAAGGCAGGGACGGAAAGGCGGCCGAGTCCCACACCACTGAGGTCCATGAGCCCCCCAAACGAAGCCCTTCGTGGCTTCTGCCACCCACTTCTTTCTGTTCTCTAGAAACTTAACTGTGGGGCTGGAGAGAGCAGAGCGTGGGGAGCTTGGGATCTGGTGGTGGCCGCCTGGCCTTCGGAAACCTTGCCGTTAATTGGCTAATGACATCCTTGTGGGAGTCTTGAGGCTCATCATCCCAAAGCACGAGGAAATGATACTTGGCGCACAAAGCCGTTGATGTTCTTTCTCGGTGAATGACTGGACTTCCAGCATGTGCCTCCCCCCCACACACAAAAAAGGAAGGAGATTCAGGTTCACGCCACCAACGGACAAGCCCCGTGCTTCCCCGGTTACGATCTGGACCGTTGGACTGAGTCCATAGTCTAAACCAGGGTGGGCAACCTGCAACCTTGCACAAAAAGCTGTTGGACTACAACTCCCATCAGCCCTGGGAACTTGGCATCTGGAAATCTCCCGTGTTCCCTGGTTCTGCTATAAACCCGAGTAAGCCTTGAACAGAAAAGGCTTTAAAACACGAGGGATGCCGTGGCTGGTAGCCACCGAGGTCTCCTCTGTAGGTGGAACGGGGTGGGGTGGGGGCAAAGGGGTCTCGTCTCACCGCTCGAGCCTGGGCACGTTACCCTTGTGTTGGATGACAACTCAAGGTGGCATTTTCAAGTGGAACACGAAAATTGAGAAAAATGTTAATCCCGCTGGTGAAGTTGGGAACGTTTTCTATTTACCCTACAAAGTTACTGTGTGGATGCCTTTAAAGGAACCTTTAAGAGGCCATTTTGGCAGGAAACTTCCCCCCCCCCCAATTAGGCTATGCGTGAGTTTTAAACATTTTCTTCTGCAACAGGTGCAACAAGTCACAGAAAAAGTAGTAGGGGCTGACTCCTGTTGAAAAGGAACTTTCTAGGATCCCGTTATTCCTTAAGCTTCGAAAGTCCGCAGGGCTCTTGAGCGGGCCGAGTTAAGCCTCTCTCTTCGACCAGGGTGAGTTTTAGGCGAAGAGAAGAGAAATGAGGAGCTGCTTTGGACAAAACGGAGGCAGGGACCTGCAGACGAGGTTCTGCGTCCTTTTGCAAATCCCGACCCCCTTTTCCTCCTCCTTTTTCTTTGCAGCAGCTGTGCCACCTCCTAAAGCCGCTCCTCCTGTGCAAGCATGCTGATCCTCCTGGCGTTCATCATCCTCTTCCACATAACCTCAGCTGCCTTTTTGTTCATCTCTACCATCGACAGTGTGAGTTTTGCTATCCACCGCCATTTCCATTTGAGAGGGTGTGTGTGTGTGTGTGTGTGTGTGTGTGTGTGTGTGAGAGAGAGAGAGAGAGAGAGATCAGAATGATGACATTGATGTGTCTTTGAAAGTCTGCATTAACGCCAGGGAAGGTGAAAACGAACTTCCCCAGCCTTCAGCAAATTCCTTCCTGTCTGCAAAATGTGGCTCATGGCCCTTCTGGCTTAACCGTAGGAACCTCCTCAGCCCCAACAGCAACGGGCCGGACGGTGCATTGCTTGAAGGCCACAAGATGCTCCCTGCCTGCTTTGGGGGGGAGGCTGCCCCTTGCTCCCAGGAAGGAGGGAGGGAGGGCAACGTTTGGTGCGGAAACAAAGCCCGCTGCAAGTGTGCGCCTTGTGTCCAAGCCAGAACCTACCCCCGGAAGCAAGTCCTGGGTAAATGAGGGGCTGGGAGTCGCAGGCCCCGCTCTCTACATTTGGTCTTCCCAGAGGTGCCAGCCTCTGCCTGAACGACTGCCACATGGGGCGGATAGACCAGGGCTGGGAAAAAGGCCTTGTGTGTTGGTTGGGGATTCTGGGAGTTGTTGTCTGAACATACCGCTTTTCCAGCCTCCACACTGAATCAAGCGCTGGGGAGGGGGGGCAGACAGGCAGGCAGGCAGGCAGGGGGCCTCCTGCAAAAGGAAACGGGACAAATGGCAAGGACAGACAGAGAGAGGCACCCAGCATCCCACAGTCTTTCTGTGCAATTCAACCGCGGGCCCCCCTTTTTTTGCAGGCTTGGTGGGTCGGAGAGGGTTTCTATACGGATATTTGGCACTGGTGCTTCAATGGGACGAACTGCACAGCGCTTGACAACACCTTCTCCGGTAAGTCTCAAGCCAGACTTTCTGGGGCTGGATGGAAGAGGAAGAGAGAGACCTCCATGGCAGAGGAGGTGGGTTCGTCCTCTCCTCATTCAGGCGCCGTTGTGAAAAAAGGGGTGCCCTGACCTCCTTTGAATGGCTCCTGCCAGCTCCTTTCTGCACACGGCTGCTTTCGAAGCTGAGGGCGGGAGGGAGGCTTGGCTTAACACGGCCGGCTGGCAAGCCTGGTCTGCAAGGAACCTATTTTGTCACTATTTATTTCCTGCAACTGGAGGGAGAATGGTGGCTGGGCAGGGGAGAGAGAAGTAGGCGTAGAGGGGGTTTCCTCTCCAAAATCCAGTTTCCTTATGGGACACCCCCCCTCCCTCCAGCATCTTGCTAGGTAAGGATCGGATTGTCCTGTTCCTGCCCCAAAGTGTGTCCACGACCATTTTGCACAAGCTCCTCTCCTGCTGCAGATGAGGAGGAAGGGTGGGTCCCCTCCCTGCCTGAACTTAAGGAGTTCCTCTGTCCGGAAGCTGCATTTTGGGGAGGGCGCGAACTCAGGAGAGTTGGCAAGGGGCTGGCAGCCCTTTTAATTGTCATTCAGCACAAAGGATGGTGGAGGAAAGTGGCGGGCAGGATGCGGGTGGGTCTCAAGACGGAAAAATTGGAACGGAAAATAAACGTTTGGCAAGGCAAGGCACTGAGTTAGCGCAAGGAGCAAATACCTAAAGAGGAAATGGACTCAAGAGGTGTTTTGCACACACAGGATGAGATCGGAGCTTGGAAAAGTTACTTTCGGGGGCTTCCAACTCCCAGCATCTATAGATAGCTCTGGCACTCTTCTCGGTCGGCTGTTTTCTGCGCACAGCAAGGGTCTCGCACCCATACAAGTTTGATTTGGCTGTGACGGTGACCGTCAGCGCTGGCAGGGCTGGGGGAGGTGGGGTCTCTCCTCTGAGGGGGTCCTCTGATTCAGACACAGTTACAAGGGCCCCCCACGTTTTGACTGGCACCAATAAAAAAAATAACAGTGGAAAAGAAGGGGGAATGGACTTTTCAGTGGGAGAATGGAATTAGAAAAAAAAGGAAACTGTGGGGGTTTCCCAGTGAGGGATCTCCACTCCTGGCATTTGCAATCCCCAAAAATAGCTTTTCCAGGTTCCGAATCTTAGCCCTTGGCCAGAATATCCAGGGCCTACCTGCACTCTCTCTCCGTCTCCGCGGCGTCATCGCCCTTCGCACACAGCGCAGCCTGCGAAGCGTGGCCTTTCAGGTGCTTCCAGGCAGGCGGATTCTGTGGCCTGGCTGTTAAAACTGTCCCACAACCATATTAATTGCAGACTATGAAGCGATACAGGCCATTCAAGCCACGATGATCTTGTCCACCATCCTCTGCTGCGCGGCTTTTTTCGTCTTCATCGTTCAACTCTTCCGCCTAAAGCAAGGGGAGAGGTTTATTCTGACGTCGATCCTGCAACTCCTGTCCTGTGAGTATTGCCGCCCCCCCATCCTAAAATACCGGCAGCCCTCCTCCTGTCCCAGCAGCAGAGGGGAGGGGCAACTCCCCTGGGGGGGGG